AAAAAAGAAAAGGGAAAGCTGGGGGGGGGGGCTCAGAGGCCTCCCTCGACTACACCAAGAGCCTCCAGAACGGGTGGCTGGCAGGGCAGGGCTGGGCCTTTCTCTACACAGGACCTCTAGGTGTGTTATTTGCTTCTGCAAAGCTCCAACTCGTCAAACAGCACAAAATACGGGGGACAGGGAGAGAGAGAGAGAGAGAGAATTCCTGCTGCCTGGTGGATAGAGGCAGGAGACTGAGGGCAGGGAAAGGGAGAAAGAATGAAGGGGAACCACAGACCTCAGAGAGGGAAAGAGATGTATTTTAAATGCAGGCGTAGCTGATAACGTCTGGGCCTCCCATGTTCCCCTCCCTCCACCCCCTCGGATAAAGAAGGCCAACCACAGGAGTTCCTCCGACAGGTCTGGGATCCTTTCCAGATCTCCACTAATAACGCTCTTTTCCGGGCAAAGCGCAGAACTGCAGAGCCCTGCGGAAGGAGCTGGGGGGGGGAGAGGGTGTGTGGAGGGGGCGGAGCCCCCCCCCCACAAGCGATTGTGGGTGTAGCGGCTGGTTTTCGGTTACAGGTGCTTCTCTGATCCTCCTCAGGCGGGCCTTTGCCTTTTTTTCCCCTCCCGCTGGGGCCGAGGGTGGGTGTGGCAGCTCAGCCCGAGAGTCCCGGGCGGGGGGCAGGGGCAGCCGAGGGTTCCAGCTCCGGGACGCCCTCCTTCCAGAGCCGGCCTGCCACCTTCCCCGCTGATACACGGCGGGGCTGGGGCTCCTCTTCTTCCGACCCGCTGGCGTGCTAAGCAGGAAGCAGGCGCCCCCCCCTCCCCGCCGCCCGGTTCTCTTTCTCGGGGCGGGGGCAAAGGAGGGCCTTCCAGGCGCCGGCTGCCGGCTCCTGACTCCGGAAGGGTTAAGCCGCCTGGCGGGAGGGGGGAGCAGCTCCTCCCCTCCCCTCCCCTCCCCTCCCCGGCGTTGCACTGACAGCAGCTGTCGCCGGTGCAGCCCAGGCCCGGCCAGCATCATCCGAGCAGTGCGGACGGACCGCCACCCCGCCTGGTACGTAGTCCCGGGCCCGGGGGCGCAGGTGGGTGCGAGTGGGTTGGGG